CAACATGACCGGGACACCGTCACATGACCCGGACACCATCAAAACATGACCGGCACACCGCCAAAACATGACCAGGACACCATCACAACAGGACCGGGACACCATCAAAACATGACCGGGACACCGTCACAACACGACCGGGACACCATCAAAAAGGGACCGGGACACCCATCAAAACAGGACCGGGACACCATCACAACATGACTGGGACACAATCAAAACATGATCGGGACACCATCACAACATGACCTTCGCCACCATCACATGATCGGAACACCATCAAAACATGACCGGGACACACGACCGGGACACCATCAAAACATGACCGGGACACCATCACAACATGACCGGAACACCATCACATGACCGGGACACCATCACAACATGACTGGGACACAATCAAAACATGATCGGGACACCATCACAACATGACCGCGCCACCATCACATGATCGGGACACCCTCAAAACATGACCGGGACGCCGTCACAAAACGACCGGGACACCATCAAAACATGCCCGGGACACCATCACAACATGACCGGGACACCATCACAACATGACCGGGACACCTTCAAAACATGACCGGGACACCATCACAACATGACCGGGACACCATCAAAACATGACCGGGACACCATCAAAACAGGACCGGGACACCATCACAACATGACTGGGTCACAATCAAAACATGATCGGGACACCATCAAAACATGACCGGGACACCAGCATCACATGACCCGGACGCCATCAAAACATGACCGGGACACCATCCGCCCACCAGCTCTGACGGTGACCCGACGGCGCCCGTCCGCCTATTAGTTTTGCAAGACCCCATAGCATGGCTATTGGGGAATTAAGCCGACCCTCTGCTCTTTACTTCTAATGCACAGCAGGCCAGATGCATACGCACACATACACAGTGAAGTGGCTCACTGCGAAGAGGTGCAATAACTACCACCATCTCAGCAGCAGCCTCCTCGTCAGCAGACAGATCCACATCAGCATACTCATGTTCGCCACAGGCCATGGCTTCTTATTCTTCTTCTTCTTCTTCTTCTGCAGCTTCGGCAGCTTCGGCAGCTTGGGCAAGCCCCTCGACACAGATCTGAGCTTCCTGAGACGGTGGGGGAAGATGTTTTTGCACCGCAACGACGGAGAAGATGTTTTTGCACGACAATGACGGAGAGGAGGGCAAGCAAACTGTCTGCGACGCCAACCAGCCGGCTGACTGCCAATCTTCGGACGGGCATCACAGCATCTTGAACGTCTTCATCATTGGAAGTACTTGGCGAGGCTGGCATAATGCGGGCGTTGCGAATCAGAAGCTTTGCTTGAAGTTGGTGGTTCACGAGTCTTGAATGTGATCCAAGCAACAGATTGGCCACTCCCACGATTTTATGAGTTTAGTATTGTAAGGTTTTAAGATTTTAGGATCCTAGAAAACTGGAATTCAAGACTTCAAAAATTTAAGATCCAAGGAAACTTATTGGAAACCAAAATTCAGGCACATGGTATTCAAGAAGTTTTCCTGGATCTTGAAATCCTAAAAATCTTAAAATCTTAGATTCTTAAAATCCAGGCACTTGTATTCAAGAAGTTTTCCTGGTTCCTAAAATCTTAAAATTGTGGGCGGTTGCAAGCAATTGCAAACGCACCATAGTCTAAGTCTAAGTACCTGGACCACAAAGACCACGCACCGTATAGTCTAAGTACCTGGACCATAATGACCTGCAGCACCTCAAGATCATTAAAGTTGCTGGTGACTTTTTCTTTTATGAAAATTGTTGGTTGCTTGTTTCTTTTGGTGGGTACCAAATATATTACTATATTTACCGTATTTACCTATTAATATGTTATCACTTTGTCCGAACTTGGATGGCAAAATCCGAACTTGGTTGCCTCCCGGTTAAAGCGCAAATGTGCGATATCCCGCGATCTTCCATTCAACGTACACAAACGTGGCTTGCCGCAGCTGAGGTTCTCATAGTCTCCAGGGTCCCGAGAATCATCTGCCCTGCGCAGGCGCGTTGCAGGCGGGTGCAAGGTGTGCCAGGTGTGCCGTGCCAGGTCTGCCAGATGCTGAAGAAAGCACCAAACACGGAATGAACTGAAAAAAAGACACGACAGCTTTTGATGGGAAAGGACTGCATGAGCACCGAGCACCAAAGTCCTTTGCTCCACTGCGACAGAAACAGTTGAGTCTGCCTGTAGAGGCCGAAGTCCACCATGCCACAGAAGAGGAAGATCTGGATCCAGCCAGTCAAAGGCACCTGACTCGAACGCTTATTCTGCAAATGCAAACCCAAATGTGTTGAAAAGAATTGGCAAGTGTTCCTGTTATTCACCTATTCGTTTGTGTTGTAGGGTACTTCTGTCACACTCTCGATGCTAGCGCACAAAAAGAAGCATAGGCGGCATTGATCCATTTATATGTCATGTTTGCCCAAACTGGCGACGTTGTGCTGGCGGGCTGTAAAGAAAGCTAAGGCCTGGCGAGCTACTTTGCTTGGCCATGCGACCAAAATATTCACCAGCTTCTACAGCTACCCACATCATCAAATCAATTTTCTCGGAGACAGGGGACTGTCAAACCAAGAAGAAAAGAGCCAACATGACCAGGTACAAAGTGAAACAACTCGGAAACTTGGTGGAACATGTAAAGTCCGGGCGTCACCCCCAGCTAGACTGCACCCAAGATCCCAACCTTGGAGAGCGCTGCCAAGCCATTTGGAACATCAGCGAACTTGAGCCCCTTCGCAGGCCTCGGTCGGCCAACCGCGCGTGGTTCAGGCAGGTTCGCGGTGAAAACTGCACTTCGCGGGACACACGACGGAGGGTCTGAGCAGCACGCGAGAGGTAGCCAGGGAAGCGGAAGTACTCCGGCAGGATGACTTGGTTCAACATGAACAATGACCAGAATGCGTTTCATACCAGCCAAACTCTTTCATTGAGCCATATGCCAAGCTGCAGCCCATAGTGGCGAACATCGCCACACGGCCGTTCTTCAGCTCGCTCTCCCGGCGGCGGCGAAAGGTCTTCACGTCCCCGTCCTCGCGGAGTGGTCGAGTCATCGTTGGTGGAGTGGTCAAGAAACGACCCACTTGCAACTCAGTCTTCGGCGGCTTTGACGGATCATCTCTCTTAAGAAAACATGTCTCACAATGTTGACAAAGAAGCATGTCCTTGGCCAAGCCCATGGGGTCGAAGTAGCCCACTGGGGCCTTCCGCGCTGTGATCACCCCCCAATCCATGAATTCTCCTTTTGCCAGGGGTAGTTGAAGAAAAACACTCTGGGAACATGCAAGTGGCAGATCCACCAGTACAAGGTCCCGCTCTCTTGAGCAAGAGGTGAATTTAAGTCTCTCTCAAGGAGTATGTACCCTCAGTCCTCTCCATCAGTCTACAGGAAGAGTGTGCTCAGTCTGTCTGTACCGCCCACTTCTACCCCTACTGGCCATACTACAAGATCATAAGGAATGAAAGAAAACCAATTGAAACCCTCTTGAAAATCTTTAGGATGAACCCCTGGACCAGAACATCTTGAGCATCAGGCCTGGACACCAAGCTCGTTCTCGAAGGCTCTCAGAGGGGAATCGGTGTACGCTGCCCAATCCCCCCAGGCAGAGCCAGTGAGGCCATCCTGCGAAGTTTCAACATGAAACGGTACACCTACATTGGAGGCGATCTGCCCCGCATACACAACACCGTTCGTTGCATGTTGTCTTGCGTTTCGCGCCGAGTTCGCGGCCTGGAAGACATTCAGAGGGAAAACAAGCATTAATGATCGTATTACAATCTGTCGGGGTGACCACCATGCCAATGCAAACAATGCACGAATGGAGCACCGTTGGACTAGAAAAAACCTGTTGCCTGGCAGATGAGGCTACGCATTCTTTCCAAGAGTCCAAAGAAAACTGTGCTGTGTTCCTTTGCAGCCCTGGTTCAGCTTTGTCTTGACAAAATTAGAGCTATATAGATGTCCAGTATGTGGACAGCGTTAAAATAACAATTTCAATTATGGGTTCGTCAGAGGAAGTAAGTAGTGGCATAAGTCATGTCTACAAATATGTTAGATCGAGTTAACGACCACTTTGAGTGGGCATGCCCTGAAGGTACATTGTGCCTTGATACAAAACATATCCTTTGTATTCCTTTGTCGCATTCATTGTAATTAATGAAGGAAAGTGAACCGGTTCGACAAAAGTTGCAACCCATGGCTGATATGGAGCTCAAGCTGCACTCAACCATAACAGCAGCTGTGATCCCATCATGTGTCCTGAAAAAACATGCCAATGATTGCCATCATTGCCTCAGTTCTTAAAACGGAGCTGTGTTGCGCTTTGTCTCTTGAAGGAGGCTTTCAAGTTCGAACAAGGCGGAGCACTTAAACAGCTCCTAAGATCATGTTGATCGCATACGAATTGTCTCTTGAGGGAGCACAAAGTTCTTGAACATGTCTTGCGCTGTTTGTCAAGCGTCCAAAGCTACATAAATCATTGACATCAAGACATCCACAAGAAACGTAGTCTGAGTCTCCAAGCCCTGGAGCACTGGAGACTTTGGGACGTTAGCTAGAGTCAGAGAGAGAGAGAGAGAAGGAGAGAAAAAAAGAGAGAAAGAGAGAAAGAGAGAGAGAGAGAGGAAAAAAAGAAAGAAAAGGATGTGTGTGTGTGTGTCTGATAGCTCGAGACTAAAGGCATGACATCCTTTCAATCAAGAACAAATCTAAAACAAGAAAGGTTCAAAATTGGTATACTTCAGCTACCAGAGATAGCAGGGGGTCGCATGGCTAACAGCCTGGTGACCATCCCTCACTTGGCCAAAGCTCCTCACGGCCTAAGTGGTGCCCAGTCACCAGGCGCCCGTTGGCGAGTTCGGAGTTCAGCTTGCGAGTGCGTCCCTCACCAGGCACCATTGTGCTGCCGTTGGGCGCGCCCAGCACACCTCCAGGAAAACAAGGAGCCACTTGGAAAGTGAGTTGCTCCTTGTCGCTTGATCGTGATCATGAAAGTAGGAGACAGGGTGTCTGAGAATCCACTTCCATCTGGTAAGAAAGACAAGTACCAGAGCTCCTGGGTAAAGACGCCTTGCAAATGTTTAGACAGGCAGGTCCAGGTGGAGACCGTGGATAAAAAAACCGTGAGACCGGCCACACCCCAACTCTGCAAAGGAATTGTATGAAACAAACATCTCCATGTGTTTGTCATAACGATGACCTTACAAAGATCATAATCTCCGAGGAGATCAACCAGGCCCACCTGCACTCTTGAAGTCGCCAGGGGAACGAGTAGGATCATAAGTGTAGATTCCCTTCTCCACCAGACCAAGGAAGAGGAAGATCTGTGTCCACCCAGCTGCAGGCACCTCGTGACAACAAACCCAGGAGGGCAAGGCATGCCATGGTCCAGACTCCAAAACTGGACAAACCAAGATCGGACATGGGCAGCCTTTGCAAGAAATGTTGCTACAAGTTGGAAATTGTTGGACAAAATATTTTCCTGGAAGCCTTTCTTCCACTGTTTTCGCCTTCACCCTGAACTTGCGTGACAGCACAACATGAGCATCCCAACCTTCCCAAGTGCTGCCAAGCCATTGGGCACGTCAGCAAATTTCACCCCTTCAGTGGGAGAGCAGTATCCTGCAATCTGGTGCAAACAAAGTCACAAAGCACACCAAATTGGCAGAAAATAAAGCACTTACTTGAAGTTCTTTATTTGAATTCTTTCTGAATCAAAGAAAGCTTCAAATTGGGATACCAATGATTTGGAAAAGCAGTTTGAAGTGCAAGCCCCGTAAACAACACACAAAGTGATTTAGAAAGTTCCCTGGTTCCTCAAAACAAAAAAGAGCGCTGCATCTTTGCTGCCCATCCCCCGCTCAACTCAAGACCAATCCTGGGAAGCGGAAGTATTCCGGGACGATGTAGCCCATGGTGGCCAACATGGCCACACGTCCTCAGCACCCAGTGGTGCAAGTGGAAGTAGACTGGAAGAGTTCTTTTCTTGAGCTCAGAAAAAGGCTTGAATAATGTTGAGCTTGCAGCTCAACCGGAATAGTATATATAGCTTCAGCCATGTGGTTGTGGGAAGAGTCTTCCGTGGCTCATCTTACAAGGAGGAAAGAGGAGAATGACCAACTTCGGCTGAAAATGAGAAAATGCTAGCATGCACGGTTTGGCCAAACAAAGATAGACTAGGTTGTAGACTCTGCTTGTTGACAACGATACAGGGCCTGTTTGCTCGTGGAATCGCACAACCCCTGTCCTCTCCAAGTCCTCTTCCTCCTTCATTTAGTCCCCTACAGGATCGACAACAAAACTCACGCGACAGTGAGGAGCTTCACCAACCTTCAACGTCAAACTGATCCTCTCCCCCTCTCTCTCCCAATCTCCACCTCTCTCCACCTCTCTCCACCTCTCTCCACCTCTCTCCACCTC